AAAATAGGCACATTTAAATCACTTCCTGTTTCAACTGAAACAGCTATCACTACCAACCGGAAACTTTTTTCAAATCAAGCAGCGGAGAACTTGCGAAGCTTGTCAGAGCCAAATAAAACCAAAATGCAGCGTTATTCAACATTTGACTAAAAGATGAAGAATGAATTTCGCTTTGAAAAGATATAGACGAAAATTTCGACTGAGGAAGAAGTTCGGTAAGGCTGCTGTGGGAATATGCTCTGATAGAACTGTTGTCAACCACGACTTTATAAATGAGAAAGCAAGTGAAAAAGAAAAAGATGAAAAGAAAGTGTTTTCACCTCTGCCGAGCCATTTCCAAGGGTACAACACGTTCTTCGCGAAGATCGGCCTTGTTCCCAACAAGAACGATAGGAACTGAGTTGTCAGAATTCTTTACGCGAAGAATCTGTTCCCTACAAAAGTTATAACTAACACTATATTCTATGTGTGCTAGCATAATTTAAATATAAAAATAAATATAATTACAAATATATATCCTGTAAAATGCTTAAAAGAAACTGCTGCTCCTCTCTAAGCAGCAAAAAAAGTGGAACCCTACACGAGTAGAAAGTAGGATTCTTTTAAGGTTGTTCTAAAAGCAATGATAGCTTTACCTGAACTCTGTGGTTGCGTCAAAGGAATCCATATCCAGAATGGAGAAAACACAGATGAAACCTTCACCACTTCGGTAATAATTGTCTCTAGATAGAAAAATAATACAATTCGTGTTCAGTACTAAAATACACTCCTTTCCTACATATAGCACGTTTATTTTGTAAAATGCACTCTTTTCCTACATACAGCGCGCTCATTTTGCACAAAGTCAGGGGAAAAAAACAACTAATAGTGAATAATGGTAAAAGTCACATTTATGTAGTTGAGATAACCATGTATGAAACGCGTAACAGAAACTGAACCAAAATGAATAGCGGACCTGATCGCTGAATAATCTTCTTGACCAGCTGTATCCAGGATATCGATTGAGCATTCTTCTCCATCCAATACCACCTTTTTACGATAGGAATCCGCTTTTGTTGGTTCATACTCTTCCACAAACTATAAAATCATATGTTTGCACTTATTTAAAGGCAAATCAGGTTATATTATTAGAAATGAAGTTGATAAAGCATGAAGTAATTACAATACTGTTACAAAGGCCTCTAAAGAATTGAGAATGTGCGACGGTGACGGTTGATTAGATTTTGATACATAGAATGGCCACGCTAGTCAATTTAATTTATTTAAATTAGTATTGAGGACGCCATTTTTTGATATAAAAATGTTCTTAGAGATTAATCATATAATGAATAAAGCACAAAACCCTACGCATTAACTCACCTCATCGTACATAAACTGGAGTGTCAACGCCGATTTTCCTACACCACCAGTACCAACCATAATGACCTGAACAGTGTCGTCTGACTTAAGTTAGATGATAGAGCATCATACACATACTAAATGAAACAGAAAACCTGATTGTATCCTTCAAACATGTCGCAAATTTGAAAATTTCTTAACACAAGTGTCAAAAAATGTTTTGAATTGAATATTGCAGAACCATAAGACTCCTAAGTTCATAAACAAACGAAGAGGTAGTCCTTTTTTGAAAGAGAATTCTTGTAATAAACCGCTTTGATGCTTCTTGGAATATGCCTAACCTTCAAAATAAAGCATAATCAAGCTATTTCTTCTCAGAAAACTATATAATGCTTTTTGAGAAGATAGTGTTGAAGGAAGTGTGAAACTCAGATAGCGTAAAGAAAGTGGCATATGTAACTCGACCAAGCTCTTTCCACTATAATTCTTTTCCTTTTCCATAATTAATGTTTGAAAGTGTAACATAAGTGCAAAACAGATTCATTTGCAGGAGCGCTTCTATCTATTCATTCATTGTACCCTACGTTCAATGAACTCGCAAAAAATAAAACTATCATTTTGAACTCAGTAATAATTCACATGAAAGTTGTACCACGAATGTTTGAAAAGAAAATAACAAAACA